ACAATCACAGTGTTCCTTGACCTAAAAGGAGCCTTCGATTCAGTTGACCGTGAAGCTCTTATGGTGTCGCTGCTTCGAAAAAGAATACCGTGGAAGTATGTAAACGTATTGCGGTCGCTGTACCTGCATACCTACAGTAGCATAGGGATCTACGGTGGGATAAGTAAATCGTTCGAACTCAGGAGCGGTGTTCGTCAAGGTGCCCTATTTTGCCATTCCTGTTCAATTTCGTCGTAGCCGAAGTACTGGAGAACGCACTTGGCGGTTTCAAAAAGGTTGGTATTGAATGGGCAGGTGGAGAAATGCTTTGTGATTTAGAGTACGCTGATAAGCTCGTTTGTTTGTTCTTTTATATGGAGGATGTGCAAAACGCTGCTGACAGACTTTCAAGTTCTGTAGCTTCATTTGTTATGCGTTTTTGCACCTTCAAAGTGCAAGGTAGTGCTGCAAGACTGGGTATCTTCTACCCCGGCGCTGATGTTTGATGGTCAAGAATTATCTATAATGGAATGTTTCTCCTACTTAGGTAGCTGCATGACAAATGGTGCCTAGTCAAGGAAGTAGCCGCCCGCATTTCCACGGCTCGAGCATCTTAATCCGGACTAAAATACCTTTGGTACAGACATGATCTTTCGTTGAAACTGGAAGTTCGTGTATACATGTGTCAGTGTGCGGTCAGTTCTGCTTTATGGTTGCGAGACCTAAGTTAGCGCGTGGGCGATATTTGTCCATTTAGGAGTCAATTAAGTTCGGTTAATTGTATTTCGCTGTACGATAATGATGACTGTAGGATGAAAAATCTATCTCTACAAGTTAAGACACGAGTAGGAGCTGAATTTGAGTTTCTTTGACGGTTAGTCTTTCCATCTCTGTGAGTTTGATTTTTCCGAGTTATCCAGATGCATTTGATGTAGCTGGTTGTGATTGGTCGCCACAAATAAGGCGATTGTTTTCCTCTGTTGATTTTGAAATTCTAGAAAGGAGTGGCTAATAATTTGTTGGTCACCGATAT